AGCGAACAGGCGCCACACACGGGGCCCCAGGCGGCCTCCCCAGCTCCAGCTGCCTGTTGCTCTGTACCCAGGAAGGAAGACGTGGGAAAAACGTTGCCTTGGAAAGGCCCCCGGCCCTGGAGTTCCCTCCACCTCAGTACACAGGTTGGGAAGGGTAGGAATAGGTAGGAGGCATGGGGGGAAGCTGTTTACTGGGGGACGATGGCTTGTCCTCTTGGGCCTTTGCTCAGTAGCACGGAATCAAGTGTGAGCCACCAAAATACAGAGCATGGAATGATTCCCTCCTAAAGCCATAAGGTGAGACTGAGCAAAAAGAGGGGTGTGTGGCTGCCATGATGGTTCACTGGGGTGGGGGGGGCGTGAGGGCAGCCCTGAACAGCACATCAGAGCCCTAGGGAGGTAAGCAGGGCATCCCTATGAAGGAGTGGCCTGGGGGCGAGGGGGAAGATCAAGAGGGTGAGGGGGTCTCTGCACAAGAAGGGGCTTGGCTCGGGGGACTGGAGTCAAGCAGGGAGAGGAGAGGGCCCACGCAGATGACAGAGCCCAGCACCAGGTGACAGACATATCTACACAGAGCAGGAGGTGGCGACAGTGGGAGATGGTGCTCATATGGGGGGATTGATTCAATAAGGAAACATAGTAGGATAGCGGGAGCCAGGTTTTTCACTGTCAGAGAATGGAACGTCCAACACAGGGAGGGAGGATGTCAGAGCACCTTGTGGTACGGGTTAGAGCCGGGGTATCGCGTGAACTCACACTTGACAGTATGTATAAATAGATTCAGAAACACACGTTATGCAAATGCCCATGTACACACAGACACACACACATACACACACTACACACTCTAGTTCTTTCCACTGAAGCAGCCTGGGGACATCAACGCCCTAAAATTTCAATGAGCACACTTAGCCCCAGGTCCTAGTTTCTAAATGCCATTGTCCACTAAACGGACTTCAAGGCTCCTTGGGAAAAATACGGATTCTAAAACAAAGCCATGTAAAGTACAAGATGAGCCTGGAATATCTGTGCCAGAAAATAAGAAGGCTCACACAAAAAATGAAGAAGGAATGTCAAAAGGATGCAGAAGCCAGATTGAAGGGGGTCCGGTGATCAAATTAGGAACAATTTGGGTTTCAAAATGAATATTGATAATAATAGACATAACCTTTTGAATAAAATAAGAAATTAATGATAAGGAATGAAATATTTACATGGTTTCCAACTGCCTCCCCCAGAAAAGCCTACTCATTGCAAAAGGAGAAGGAGCAACTTGACCGTGGAGAAGCCTGGCAGACATCCCCTGAAGCAGGGATCAAAGTCAATGCCGTCAGTGACAGGACAAATCCAGACTGCATGTCCCTGAGAGCGTGCAGGGAGAAGGACACAGCATCTCAGCTGCACCCAATAGAGCAGAAGCATCCCATGTCCCCAGACAGAGGGACATCCTGCAGAACTCTGGTCTGCAATCCTCAAGCATCGAGGTGACAACAGTCGAGCAAGGTCTGGCTGCTCCAGCCTGAAGGCAACCAGAGATGTGACAACTAAATGGTTTGAAACAGAATCTTTTTGCTGCGAAGGATGTTATTTCGACCAGTGGCCAACAGGAGTAGGATCTGAACACTCGATAATGATCATAGAAGAACCCTAGTCCTCTGGTTTTGATGGTCGCATTGTGGCTATGCAAAAAAAAGTCCCTGTTTGTAGGACACACACATTCATGTCTTCAGGGCTGATGGAGCGTCATATCAACAACTTGCTCTCAAAGCATTCAGGAGAAAAGAGGAACTTGCACCTTTTCTAGGAAGTGGAGTGTTCTGAGGGTTAAAGGAAGGAAGGGGAAAAGGAAAGGAAAGGGAATAAAACAACTTACAGGAATCTGAAGCAGAGGAGGGGGAAGAAAGGGGGGCCCTCAAGGGGCAACCAGAGGGCGTGATGAGGAGCTGTGGGCTTTCTCTTTCCTGGCCAGCCTTCAGAGCCCAACCGCCTTTCTCCTGAGGTCAGGCACTCCTCAGCTCACGTTCTTGCCTCTCCCACTCAGGCCCACCCCACACACTGCTACCAATGGCTGCCAGCAGCCGCCCTCTGCAAGCCAGGGAGGCTACGGTTCTAGGTCCTGAGAGCTGGCAGCAAGAGACGGATGACAAGTAAGGGGGGCTGGGCAGAGCCTCCCTCCGAGGGCAGGCATCCCTGTGCAAGTGAACCTGTACAGGGGCAGGGAATGGTCTAAACGTTCTTCGAAGGCCCCTTAGGGCCCAGGGATGGGACGGAGAGGACATCTGATCAGATATCTATTTGCACTCACCCTCCTCTCCTAAGAGGTTTTGATTCTCATTTTCAGGGTTAGCAGCCACTGCTGGGGTTTCCACCTCAATGTAAACACCCTTCAGGAGAGAGGACGAGAGCGAGAGCCGAGCTGCAGGTTCTACCCTCGCTCTCCTAACCTCAATGTCCACATTTGTAAAATGGGGAAAACCTCCAGTGCTGTAGCACAGAGCTGGAGGAAGGGATATCAGATGAAAACATGTGGATGGCAGGCTGGTTCACCCTTGCAGAGAAAGAACTGGCCAGTTTTCTTTTTCCATCTTTAGTAAGCAAGTAGAGCGCTCACCTCTCTCTTCCTTCTGCCCACATCAGGTACTTTTCCGGGAATGTACAAAACAGCTGGCTTCCCTTAGTGAACCAAAAGAGGCTGGACACCAAAGCCAGAAGTTGGGGGTGTCTGAGCAATGCTTTCCCTACTCAGGCTGGAAAGAAGCCTCTGGACCCCTCTTATGGCCCACCCAATATCCCTAACCTTTGGTGCTGTCATTCACTCGCCATTGCCGCTTTCCCTTCTCCATTTCCTGCCTTACCCAGCTTAGAGTCCATGACTCATTATTGCAAACAACTTCTGTGCTCTCCCTTCGAAGGTCCCGTCCAGGCAGCTCTCCTCACACCCAAGCTGGTGACCATGGTAAGCAGAAATCCACACACGGACCGAGCTTACTGCCAAACTGTGTTGACTCATCTCCAGCGGGCACTGACCCGTCCCCAGCAGTCCCCACTCGTCCTACTACTCTATTTGCCTTTTTCCCTCCTAAAAGACCATTCCATTCCTTCTCATGTCTCTTCTCATCCCCCTCTTCTCTGTCAATGATTGTCTTATTCTTCAAAAAGGAAACGGAAGCAATAAACCAGGGACTTTCTGCTGCCAGCCTACCTCTATCTGGACCCACACCCCCACTTTCCCTCTGGTACCCTACTCCAAGGAAAAGACCAACCCCTGGACCTATGCTCTGAACTCAAGGGCCTCGATCCTGTACCTTTCTCCTGTATCCCACCTTGTACTGGACAATTGAATCCAGCACACATGTTGCCATCTCTATCCTTCAAAAATAATTCACTGCCTTGGCCCCACATCCCCCTGTAGTTATAGTTCCACTTTTTTGTTCCCCAGCACAGCAAGAAGACTTACTTACAGCCCTCCCTTCACAGTCTGTCCTTAACCTACTCTAACTGGACTTCAGTCTCCCCCACTCCCACATTGAGTCCTCTCTTGTTTAGAACACCAGTACCTTCCATGTGGCCAAACTCAATGGTTACTTCTCTGTTCTTTCCTTACTTGATCTCTTAGCATTCCCTACACTTGTCCCTTCCTCCTTCCCTTGGCTTCATGGTACTTTTCTCTCCTGAAGGTCCACCAGCCTCACTGGGGTATCTTCTCTGCCTCTTGTTTGCCTCTTCTCCTCTGCTTGGCCTCCAGATGTTAAAATGCCCCAGTGCCCTATTTTGGCCCATTTCTTTCTTCCAGCTCTACTTTGTCCCTAAGTGACATCGTGCTATATCTTCAAATAAAATCCATATACTGAAGACTCCCAACTGTATATGCCATGTTCTGGCTCTCCCTGGAACTCATATATCCTGTCTTACTCAACATGTCTACTAGATGTCCATCTCAAACCTGACACGTTTGAAGAGAACTTTTGACTCCTTTCTCCCTCCTATCATCCCTAGGAATGCTCTATTTTCAGTCTTCCACCATCCCCCCATCACTCAAGGCAACAAAATAGCCCTTGCTCCTATCTTCTTTATCATTCCCATATGTATCCCATCAACTGGCCCCTTGCTTCTAGCCCAAAGTGGTCACCTTTCTTCACCTCCCTGCCACCACCCTTGTCACCAGCCATGCCACAGTACATCTCCTGGGCACTGAAATAGCCTCCGAATGTGTCTGTGCTTACAACCCATTCTAATCCATACTCCATAGGAACCACTTCTCCCTTGCATAAAATTCTCCAAAATGCCTCCATCATCCTTAGAAAAAAAAAATCAACTTGGTTTTCCTAGTTTAAAAATCCTACATTACCTGGCCCAGCTCAGCACAGGACTTAGGGCCTAAATCTCATCAGGTTGACTGATAAAAGGCGCAAGGAGTTCTTTGGACCGAGGACACTTGTGGGTGTGAGTGTATCCAAGATAGGTTCCAAGAGGAAGGGCCTGGGAAATGTTGCAATGCATGGGGAAGGAGTGAAGGGAGGAAGGGAAGAGAGGGCATCTCTCTTTATAATCAGACTCCAGCTTGGAGAAGGTCCCACTCCAAGACAGCATCATCAGCAACAGGGCCTGTGGGCAGTAGAGGGCCACATTTCTCCAGAGGCAGAGCCTGGGGTCTATGTGGATGCCCTTGGTTGGCTGATGGGGAGAGGTAAGGCTGGGGGTTGTGGAGAGGGAAGAGGAGGAGGAATAGCTGCTATTTTGCAATACTCAACAGAATGCCCACAGCTGGGGCCAAGCAGGGGAATGGCGGCTAAGCCATGGAAGCTGAGCTGGGGATAACGTGTCCTTGGCTGACACAGTGGGATGGGGAACCCCAGAACCCTGTGGGCACAGTCCTGAAAATAGGGCCTCAGCTGGGATCCACCATCCCAAGGCCACATCCGTCTATACCACCCAAACAAGAAAGTGCAAGCCCCCTCACCCCCTCCGTCCATGGGAAAACACGTGGAGGTATGTCTTACTGTTGTCCAAGTGGTTGGCCTTAATGATCTTCTCTGAGTAGTCAGAAATACTGGAACATTCAATCTAGAAAGGGCACAGAACAAAGGAATGAGGCATAAAAAGATCACAGCATGTCCAGTACCAATTTAACCAATGGAGGAGCTGAGCCTAGAGGGGTACAGCGACCTGCCCACAGCCGTACAGTTATCTTGCGGCAGATTAAAAACTACAGGGCAGCCGTCCTGATTTGCAGGCCAGTGGCTCTTGCATTGAATCTGTCTGCCTTTGTCATGAGGTTGATTCCCAGCCACTGCTTCACAGTGGAGGGCTTGGTGTCCAAGTTAGGAGATTCAGAAGGAGCTGGTAGGCCTCCTCCTGGCCAGAGAATGGGATGAGTTTGCATAGCTCCTGTCCTCCTGGGGAAGGACATGGAAGGCAAGCCACAGCCAGAGCTGCTATGAGTCTCCTGGGACATGACTCTCCTTACTCTCCACCCTTAATCCTCTTTGTTCAATGGGGTGCATTCCAGGAGAGAGAAATGTCACAACAGGGCTTCTGGGCCAGTCTTGAGATCCATCCCACCACACAGGTCACACACAAGGGAAGTCTCACCCCCTCTGTGGTGTCCGCCTTTGAGATAATTAATTCCTTTTAATCTACAAAACTTTCTGAGCTCCCAAATTCTCCTAAGCAAAGGGCCAGGATATGTGAGAAATCAGCTGACCATCAGCTGAGAGCCAGACCTTGTGGGAACAGTGGGAGATCCAGTCCCAGACTGGGCCACGCATCAGGGGAGGGCCAGAGAGTCCTGGAGCCAGAGGGGCAGCTGCTAAGAGCTGCCCTCACCTTCTTAGCTGGCCCCTCCCCACAGAGGCTGCCACTCACCTCCACACTCCGGACTCCCCTCAGACTGCTCCCAGGGCCTCCCAGAGAGTATTTGCATAGGAACACCCGAGGGGGCTGCCCACAGCCTCCATCAAGCCTTGAGGATGGGTAAGGGTGCCTGCAGGGCTAGGAAGGGTGGCTCCATCAGAGAGGACAGACCTCTGTCAGGCTCAGGGCCCCAGAGGTTGGGCCCTTTCCTGGACTGCCAGTCCTGTGGCCTCGATCCCACTTTCCTTGGGACTGTGTTCCTCCAATTCCTCCCCCTGCTCACAACGTTGACCTCCATCTGCAAGAAGCTGAGGGGTTTCACGGTGAAGAATGCGTGACCCAGGGCCGAGCAGCCTGGATTCACACCCGGCCTCAGCCACTCTCCAGCTGTGCCTCAGTTTCCTCATAAGTGAGGAAACAGTCCCTGTTTTCTTCGTCATTGTGAGGTAATCCAAAGCATGTGAACCCCTCAGAGCATTGATGGGCCCCCAAGCCCCAGCACCCAGGTGGCCTTAGAGCCCTCTTTCCTCTTTTCCTGTCTTTGCCCCCTACACCCGTTTTCCTTTTCCCCTTCTCTGTCTCTCTCCTTCTACCTTTCTTTCTCCTTCTCTCACTCTCCCCTTCTCTCTTCCCCTCTCTCTCTCCCTCTATCCCTCTCCTTTTCTCCCTCTCTCACTCTTTCTCTCTACCTCTCTCCATCTCTTGCTCTCTCTCTCTCTCGAAAAGAACAGTGGGTAGAAGGGAGAGCTTGGAATAGGAGAAACTATGAAATGAGCCATCAGGAAAGAGGCCCAGCTAGATGTGGGAGCTGTTTATAAAAGAGCTGTGACAGCAAAAGACCAGGGGGCAGACAGATTAGTAGGGTTGGGATAGTCACCACAGCTGGGAGGGGCCGCGTGGGCACCTCCTGACAGCTCCTTAGCTGGAGCGCTGGCCACTTAGAAGCCAGTGAGGGGCAGCCAGGCCCTTTCACTCCTCAGACCTCGGTTACCCATGCCCCAGCCAGACAGGGGCTGAGATGAGGCCTCCCTGTCATCAAGCACTGCCCAGCTGTGTAGTGGGAGCCAGAGGAAGGTTGGGAGCCTCCCCAGAGCACCGGCCTCCATTTCTATCTGGATGGGCTGCAGCAGCCAGAACAGCAAATTTAAACTTACCGACTTGCCCTTTAACGAGCTAAGGAAGGAGATGGTCTTGTTATTATCCCCTAGGGCCTCATCCCAACTATATTAGTATTAGACACTGAGCATTGGTCATATGCCAGGCCCTGTTCTAAGCACTTTACATATGTATTAAACTCGTTTATTCTTCACAATCACTCCATGGGCGAGGTATTGTTACTAGGGCCATTTTATAGATGGGGAAACCGAGGTACAGAAGTGAATTGTCCACAGTCACACAGAGCAGATTCAAGCCAGAGCTCCCACATATGACAACACTGCACTGCGTCTCAAGATGATGGTAGGACTAAGCACTCTAAGGTAACGATGACACCGGCATGATTTCCAGAAAGCCAAAAATCCTTGGTAAATGTCAACATTTGTCAGGGCAAAGAGCCAGAAGCAAGGCCTGAGTGAGAGGGAGCCATGAGAACTTGCCCTCACTCCTGAGAGTCACACTTGACTTTCTCTACTTCTCCTTGAAGGTGTGGCCCCAGCAAGGGATGGACCCGGATTTGTACTTGTAGGAGGAGCAGGAGAAGGTGGGAGGCAGGGACTGGCTCTACAGAAGCCAACAGGAGGGAAGGAGGGACGTGCTCACCCCAAACACTTTCTTGGCCCCTGCTTTAGCAGCAAACATGGAAAGGATCCCGGTACCACTCCCAACGTCCAGCACTACTTTGTCCTTGAACACGTGCTTATTGTGATACATGGAGTTCCGGTAGGTGAGTGTCCGTACCTCATCCTTCAGCATTTCCTGTAGAAGGAAAGGAAAGGCAATGTCAGAGTATTCAAGCCACGCAGGAACACACCAAGGTCACGACTGGTGCCAGTACTGTCCTGACAAATTTTTCAAGAATCTCAATGATGGGGATGCCTGGCTGGCTCAGTCAGTGGAGCCTGCGACTCTTGATCTTAGGGTCATGCGTTTGAGCCCCATGTTGGGTGTAGAGATTGCTTAAAAATAAAATCTTAAAAAAAAAATAATCTCGGGCACCTGGGTGGCTCAGTGGGTTAAAGCTTCTGCCTTCAACTGAGGTCATGATTCCAGGGTCCTGGGATCGAGCCCCGCATAGGGCTCTCTGCTCAGTAGGGAGCCTGCTTCCTCCTCTCTCTCTCTGCCTGCCTCTCTGCCTACTTGTGATCTCTGTCTGTCAAATAAATAAATAAAATCTTTAGAAAAAAAATACAAAAATCTCAATGATGTCATTAGCCCAAGCTGTGGGAAAGTACTATAGAGCAGCTGGACTAGGGGTTACCTGACACTTTCAAGCAACTCCAGCCCTAAAACTCTACCCACGAAAGATAATTTTGTACTATAAGAAAAGACACTCATGTCCAGCCCTGGACCAAAAGCCCCATCTACCAAAGAATAAAAGGAAAGATCAGTGCAATGCAACTTGAGGGATTTAAGTTAAACCTGAAGCAGAATCTTCTGCCAAGGTGAGAGAATTGTCATCCAACAGGTTATTAGAGGAGTCTTTGTGGTTTGTGTGTGTGTGCATACCTTTTTCATTTTGCTTTTTTTAAAGAATGGAAAACATATTTCTTTGTCCACCATTAGTTAAGTGTTTTGTGGCCAAAAAGAAAATAGGTTACCCCTTATAGCTGTCTCCAGCCTAAGGAAAACATGACTGATCTGTGTATGGCAGTGAGGCAGAGACCTTTGTCTACTCAAGCTATCAGCAAACACTTCTTTTTTTGTTTTTTTTTTGTTTTCGAGAGAGCGAGAGAGCACGCAAGCAATGTAGAGGAGTGGGGGCAGAGGAAGATGGAGAGCAAGAATCTTAAGCAGGCTCCCCACATGACATGGAGCTCAATCTCACAACCCTGAGATCATGACCTGAGCCAAAATCAAGAGTTGGACGCATAACTGACTGCGCCACCTAGGTGCCCCAAATGCTTTTGACTAATTCATCATCGATAGTATTGGGATTTATAGTACACTTTTAGTATAATGTTTAGTACAACTTGCATACAATAAAAAGCACAAATTTTAAATGCCTGGTTAGGTGTAAGGGTTTTTTTTCTTAAATTTAAATTCAATTAGCCAACATATAGTACATCATTAGTTTCAGATGTAGAGTTCAACAATCTATCAGTTGCCTCTAATACCCAGTGCTCATCATATCACTTGCCTTCCTAGGTGTAAGAGTTTTGACAAATGTATACCTGTGTAACCACCACTATAATCAAGCCATAGAACATCTCTAAATCCCTAGAAAGTCCTTAATGCCCCTTGGCATTCAATCCCCCCCACCACCCAGATGATCAATCATCTAACTTATATCACTATAGCTTCCTTCTGCCTTCATATAAATTGAATCATATGGTATGTACACTTTGGTATCTGGCTTCCTTTGCTCAACATAAGGTTTTTTGAGATTCATCTACTTTATTGCACATATCCAAGGTTTGTTCCTTTTTTCTTGTTCTTGTTGTGACTGACTAGTATTCCACTGTATGGAAGTTTATCCACTCACTTGTTGATGGGTATTTGGATTGGTACAAATAAGGCAGGTACAAACACTCTTGAATAAGTATATTTGAGGGTATGTCCTCATTTTCCTTGGGTAAATACCTAGAAATGGGTTTCCTGGTAGTTGTTGAATTTCATAAGAAATCACCAGTTTTCCAACATAGTTGTTCTAGTTCGTGATCTCACCAGCATTGCTTTAGCTCTCAAGCTGCTTCACATGCCAGCAACTTAGTATTATCACTTTTAAAAATTTTTATTAATTCTTGGGGCACCTGGGTGGCTCAGTTGGTTAAGCAACTGCCTTCAGCTCAGGTGATGATCCTAGAGTCCCAGGATCTAGTCCCACATCTGGCTCCCTGCCTGGCCAGGGGGTCTGTTTCTCCCTTTGACCTCTCCCCTCTCATGCTCTCTTCTCTCATTCTATCTCTCAAGTAAATAAAATCTTAAAAAAAAATTTTTATTGATTCTTGTACATATGAGCTGGTATCTCATGGCAGTTTTAATTGCATTTTGCTTATATCTACTGATATAGATAACTTTTTCATGTGCTTATTGGCTATTCATATAAATCTTTTATGCTATGTCTGTTTGAGTCTTTTGCCCACCTTTTTCTTGACCTATTTATCATTCCCTTATTGAAATGTAGGAATTTATATATTCCAGAAACAAATCCTTTATCAGATATATGTATTATGAATATCTTCTTCCAATCTGAGATTTGCCTTTTCATTTTCTTGATGTTGTCTTTTGAAAAGCAGTTTTTAGTTTTGATAAAGGCCAAATTTTAGGAGGAGTTTTTTTTAATGATTAGAATTTTTTTGTGTTCTGTCCAATCTTTGTCTAACCCAAGTTCACAAAGATAGTCATCTATGTTTTCTTCCAGAAGTTTTATAGTTATGGTTTTTACTTTAGGTCTATGATTCATGTCAAATGAATTTTTTCCTATTTCCTAAAAATAAGGCATGTGAGTTTATTTTTTATACAAAACATATATAAAACATGTACAAAACATGATCTAAGCACCGTTTGTAGAATAAACTATCATTTCCTCCATTGAATTACCTTGCCATCCTTGTCAAAGATCAATTAACTATATATTTGCAGTTTCTCTGATCTCTTCCATTAATATACCTGTTCAACACTAACTTGATCACTGTACCTTTATATTAACTTTGAAATAGTGTGAGTTTTAGTTCTTCTTTTACAAGGTTTATTTTAGAGCTTATGCATTTCCATCTATATTTTAGAGTCTGCTTGTGAATTCACACAGAACAGCTCCCTGGAGTTGATTGGAATTGCGCTGAATCTATAAATCAATATGGAAAGAACTGATATTTTACAAATATTATCTTATAATCCAAGAACACTGACACAGCCTTCCACCTATTTTGGTCTACTTTAATTTCTTTCTGCAATGTTTTATAGATTTTAGAAGTCTTGCATTTCTTTCATTAAATTTATTCTCAACTATTTTACCTTATGGCATTGTATATGATATTTTAAAATTTTATTTTCCAATTGCTTTATGTCAGTCTACATATTGACTTTGTGTTTTTCAGCGAGCACGCTTCACATATTAATTGTCTTATGATTTTTTTTGTAGATTCCTTTGTTTTTCTACATGAAAACTCTTGTCACTTGTGAATTAAGACAATTTTACTTCTTTTTCCTATCTGTATGCCTTATTTTTTTTGTTCTTTCCTTTTGTTTTACTGAACTAGAAAGGACTGCCATGCAATAAAACATTGAATAAAATAGGAGAAGACAGGCATTCTTTCTTTGTTCCAGTAATATAAATGTCACCATTGAGCATAATGTTAGCTGTGGGCTTTCTATAAATGTCTTTTATCAGATGAAGACATTCTTTTCTATTTATAATTTGCTGAGAGCTTTTATCATGATTGGCATTGAATTCTGTCACATGTTTTTTCTACATTTATTGAAATGGTATGTGACTTTTCTCTTTTAGTCTGATAGTAGGTTAAACTCCATAGATTGGTTTTGAATGCTGAACAAATAATTTGTCATGATGTATAATCCATTTTAAATAATGCTGTGTTTTACTTACTAATATTTTATTACACAAGTTTCTATCTATATTTATGAGAGATGTTAATCTCTAATTTTCTCTTACTTTCTCTGGTAATAAGTTATGCTGACTGAGCTCCTCATACAAGTTAGAAAATGTTTTCTCATATACTTTCTGAATAAGTTTGTATGAGATTGGTACTTTTATTCTTTAAATATTTGACATGTAGGTGCACCTGGGTGGCTCAGTGGGTTAAGCCTCTGTCTTCAGCTCAGGTCCTGATCTCAGGGTCCTAGGATCGAGCCCCACATTGGGCTCTCTGCTCAGCTGGAGCCTGCTTCCCCCTCTCTCTCTGCCTGACTCTCTGCCTACTTGTGCTCTCTCTCTCTGTCAAATAAATAAATAAAATCTTTTAAAAATATGTTTGACATATAATTCACCAGTAAAACCATCTGGGTCTGCAATCCTTTTTGTGGGAAGACTCAATTTTTCAATAGATAGAGGTCTGTTTTAGTTTTCCATACATTCTTACATCAGTTCTGACAAAGTATTTTTCCAAGGAATTTATCCATTTCAGCTAAGAGATCAAATTTATGGGCATAAAATTGTCATAACATTCTCAAATTGCCTCTCAAATGTTTATATTATCTGTACTGATATCCTTGTCTTCATTTATGATACCCAAATTATCATAAATAATTTGTATTTCACCTGACTTTTTCTTGATCAGTCTAACTAGGGGTTATCTTATTAGTCTTTTCAAAAGCTAACTTTTAGCTTTGTTGATTTTCTCTGTTGTTTTATGTCTACCTCATTGATATGTGCTCTCATCTTTATTATTTGCTTTTTCAAACTTACTTGCGTTTATTTGTTTTCTCTGCTTCATAAAGTAGAAGCTTTGATCACTGATTTTGTACCTTGCTTTTAGTCTAATATAAGTACTTAAAATTATAAATTTCTGGGGTACCTGGGTGGCTCAGTTGGTTAAGTGTCCAACACTTGATGTCAGCTCAGGTCATGATCTCAGGATCGTGAGATCGAGCCCTTCATAAGGCTCCACACTGAACGTAGAACCTACTTAATATTCTCTCTCTCCTTCTCCCTCTGCCCCTCCCCACTCTCTATAAATAAATAAATAAAGTTATAAGTTTCCCTCTAAGTTTTGCTCTCATTTCATCCCACAAATTTCCATGTGTCTGTATCTTAGTTCAGACTGCTATAACAAAAAACTGTAGACTGGGTGGCTTAG